AGCGTGATGCCTTCAAGGTTCATCCATGTCACAAATGGCAGGATTTCCTTTTTTATGGCTGAATAATATTCCATTGTGTGTGTGTATGTATATATATCATATTTTCTTTATCCATCATCCACCTATGGATACTTAGCTTGTTTCCATATCTTGGTTATTATAAATAATGCTGCAATGAACATGGGGGTGCAGATATTTTTTTGAGTTAGTGTTTTCATTTCCTTTGGCTAAATACTCAGAGGTGGAATTGCTGAATCATATAGTAGTTCTATTTTTTAATTTTTTGAGGAACCTCCATACTGTTTTCCATAGTGGCTGCACCAATTTACATTCTCACCAACAGTACACAAGGGGTCCCTTTTCTCCACATCCTTGCCAGCACTTATCTCTTGTCTTTTTGATGACAGCCATTCTAACAGGTGTGAAGTGATATCTCATTGTGGTTTTGATTTGCATTTCCCTGATGATTAGGAATGTTGAGCACCTTTTCATGTACCTGTTGTACATGATCTGTATATTTTCCTTGGAAAAATGTCTATTCAGGTCTTCTGCCCATTTTTTAATCAGATTGGTTTTTTTTGCTCTTGAGTTGTATGAGTTCTTTATATATTTTGGATGTTAACCCCTTATCAGATATATGATTTGCAAATATTTTCTTCCAATCTGTAGATTGCCTTTTCATTTTGTTGATTGTTTCCTGGTTGTGCAGAAGCTTTTTCATTTGATGTAGTCTCATTTATTTTTGGCTTTGTTGCCTTTCCTTTTTGTGTCAAATCCAAAAAAATCACCAAGACCAATGTCAAGACGCTTACCACCTATGTTTTCTTCTAGGAGTTGTATGGTTTCAGGTCTTATGTTCAAATCTTTAATCTATTTTGAGTTAATTTTTGTGTGAGGTGTAAGATAGTGGTCCAGTTTCATTCTTTTGCATATGGCTGTGCAGTTTTCCCAGCACCGTTTATTGAAGAGACTCTCCTTTCCCCATTGTATATTCTTGGCTCCTTTGTCATAAATTAATTGACCATATATGCGTGGGTTGGTTTGTGGGCTCTCTGTTCTGTTCCATTGATCTATGTCTCTGTTTTTATGCCAATACCATATTATTGTCAGTGTCAAAAAATCCAGTTCTTTTGAATGAGAGAGATTCTCTTGAAAAATTAGAAAATCTGGCCACACTAAGTTCCACATTTTGGAATCATGGCAGTAACCAGCTGCCTTCCTCACTAATCTGTTCCTGCTTGGCTGCAGAAGGCATTTGAGTTTGCCACCACTAGAAATGAGAGAGCAGATCCGTGTGTTTGTTTGTTTCACGTGGGAATTCTGGTGCTGCCAGTGGCTCACCTCAGCGGGGGGTCGGGACGGCCTTGTCTGCAGGTATCCTTCCGAGGCTTTCTGCTTTCCCAGCAGGAAGTTCACTCCGTTCCACACCTCCCGTCCATTGAGGTGTATCAATGTACATACAAATCTCTGGTATGGAAGAAGCAAACGCTCCTGGTACTTACTCTGGGGTAAATTTTAAACCCACTGCTAACCAGTATTTATCATAAAAGCAATAGAAATGATTTTCTACTTGAAGTACACATAGTCGGCACACCTTTACAGATACTCGAGAGAAAGACCTGGATGGAGCAAGCTTGATACACAGGAGCATGTCCTGGGGACTGCACCAGAGAGGCCCTCGCAGAAGCTGCTATCATCGACCTTGGTGTGGAGTCATCACTTCATACTGAGGAACGTTTTACAAAATCTCTCCCATGAAACTCACCACTGAATCTTTGAAGGGACACCGAAGTGAGTGCTATTTTATGTCATAAGTGGCCTTTTAATGGGAAAAGTAGTGTCTGAGTTGAGTATAAGGAGAGGTTGTCCATGAGATGGGAGCACATACTGGTGTGAATGGCGCCCCCGTGGTGGGGTCTGGACCCCTGCCTCGCTCAGGAGCAGCCGGGAGCACGTGGCCTTGGTGTGAGCACTGAGGTGGACCTGAAAGGGCAGCGGCTAGAAGATGTCAGCCAGCTAACGCCCCACAGCCATTCTCTTGAACGGAGATCTGAGTGGTGCTCCTCCATGGCCACCCCAATGACCAGTTCAAAAAACAAAAGAGAGGAGATACTTTTCTCAAAGAGACAGAGACAGAGAGTACTCATTCCTTTCCTGAACACTTGCCTTGTTTTTAACTAACTCGTGGACATGATGGATTGTGTAGCAGACACGATTGTCCTTTTGGGCCCGCTACTAGGAAGCTCAGAACCAAGCGTGCAGCTCTCCTAGAGCAAGCGCGCAAGCCTCATTCTCGCCCCGATTTGTTCCCACTCCTGTTTCTTTCTCTTCTTTGGTTCCACCCTGGTTTGTGCTGTCTTGTACTCATCAGAACTCTTAGGTTGAGGGTGCCAGAAACAAAATTCACAAAGCTCAGGGAACATATCTGGGTCTCACTCACAGTTTGGAGCCAAGCCCAGCTGAGCCCACCACAGACCAGCCAGCCCCCATCCAACAAACAGGAAATAAATGCTTTTTGTTATCAGCATTATTACAGCAACAGGACTGATAAGATCATATCCCCTGATCAAGAGAAACAAACCTGGAATTTACTAATCAAAATGATAATCACTTGGAAATGTAAAAACGCTATTTTTAAATAACTCCACAGATTTATGGATTATGACAACGGACTTAAATAGCATCACAGTATTTCCCTCTCCTGAGTCCTCCACTGAACTCTTGCTTCTTGGGGCCCCAACTCTCTTGGTCAATGACCCAATTTTCCTATAAGAGACCTGATGAGGCTATGATATAACGATATAAAAGTCTTCATGGTTTTCGTGACTTGACCTGAGAAAGTGTTGTCCTCTTCAAACTGTCCAGAGAAGCGGCTACTTCACTGAAGTCCCTTTTCATTGTTCTGAGGTCACAACTTGGTCTCCCCAAGCCTTCGATGGGCATGTCATTTCACAAGGCTTTTCAATAAGAAAATTACCTGATCTGCCATTGACTGTCACAGCTGCCTGAGTCTCCCCCTGAACACTCATGGGGTTTTCACTGCCTCCATCCCCAGTGATGACCAACACCGAATTTCCACCCCCACCAAGTTTCCTGAGTACCTGTTGCCTACAACTAACTGATTCCTATGTCAGCAAAGTACTTGGTTGCAAACAGCAGAAATGGACTCTGCCCACTTAAGCTGGAAAAGAGTTTACTGGAAATGTGACATCTCACAGATTCAGTGGGAAAGCTTGAGAAATGGGTTCAGAAAGCAGGCAAGAATGCAGGGAGTCTGGGCAGCAACACCCAGTCCTTGTGCCCAGGAACAAGAGTGTTGGGACGTGGCCAGGCACGGCCCTTAGTGGACTATCACTGAGTGAGCCGTGCATGCTGGCCTCTCCTTCCAGATTCCAGGTTTGGGGCGGTGCGGTTAGACTGCCCAGGCCTTGGTCACGTGGCTCTCCTGTGCCTGTCGGAGCATGGGGAGAGATGTCTGCCTCATCAGCCTTCTGAGTGGAAAAGTGAAGTCTGTGGTCCAGCTGCCCTCCGCTACCTCACAACAGAAGTGTTTACTCGCTGCTGAAAGCATTCTCCAAGTCAGTCTCCAGATTCTGTAATGGGATACTCCATCATTAAAAAATGTTTGCGCAGGGGTCGGCACTGTGGCTTAGCGGTTAAGTGCGCGCGCTCCGCTACTGGTGGCCCGGGTTGGGATCCCCTGCGCGCACCGATGCACTGCTTCTCCGGCCACAGGCCATGCTGCGGCTGCGTCCCACATATAGCAACTAGAAGGATGTGCAACTGTGACATACAACTATCTACTGGGGCTTTGGGGAAAACAAAAAAAAGGAGGAGGATTGGCAATAGATGTTAGCTCAGAGCCGGTCTTCCTCAGCAAAGAGAGGAGGATTAGCACGGATGTTAGCTCAGGGCTGATCTTCCTCACCAAAAAAAAAAAAAAGTTTGAGCACACCCCAATATATGTGTATTTACTCATAAATGATATATATGTAAACAGCTATATATAAATAAAACATCCTAGCCCAGCATTTTAAAAGAATGAGATAAAAAATAAATAGGAATATACATTTTAGGATTTCTTTCCACACGCTGACACAGGCATGGCGCCGCTCGCTGTGTCCTCGGCCTGCAGTGAGCTGTGGTGCAGTGACGTGTGCCTGCACGCCCAGGCGTGGCCGTCATCATCTCTGCCTGCTCCTCCCAGTGGCTGGGCGCATCCACTGGGGACTCAGGGCAAAGGAGACACGAGCCATGAGCCATAAGCCGGAAGGAGCCAGAAAACTCGAGGCCGCTTAGAGCAGCCCCTCCGCCCCTCACCCCCCGCTGACAGGCTGTGCGGCTCAGGGAGAACAGGCCTCTTTGGAAGCCACTGAGATCTGGGGCCTTGGGGACTGCGTAACAGAGACAACTGTACTTGGTTATTGTAAACAAGGAAGAGTGGACCAGGGTCAAAATACTCTGATCAAAGCAGTTTGGTGGACTTCTTCACGTAGGAGCTAAAACATTACATGTGGCTCTAAATCATTCAAAGGTGATTACCTTCTTCTGATGCCAAATACCACTGGATATTTTATTTTTATATTTTGGGTTTACATATGCAAGTGCTGAAGTGCAACACTGACATCATACAGAAATAAAGCAATTACTACAAATCAAGCATTAGGAATGGCAGAGGCCTCAAGGCACTTAATTTCAAGAGTGTTGTTAGGTACCAGTTTGGTCAGACCCCGGCTGTGTCTAAATAACCGGGCAGGTGGGGGGAGCTGGGGAAGACAGTGGGCTGGAACCACCCCGGCAGGCCCACCCGGCGCCAATCAGGGCTGCGTGTAAACAGGCCAGGGAATCAGATTACCGAAAAAGCCCGGGAGTAACTTTACTGTTATGAGCAATCCCAACTGATGCACTAGAGGCGGAGCAACTGAAACTCAAGTTTTTATCCATCCTTCACTTATGTCAACTGATGAAACTCATGAATTTGAAATTTCTTTTCCTAAACTAAAGACTAAAATGGGTTGTCAGCTTTTAAAATATAGTTAGGTTTTCTCTGTACAACTGCTAAGGGTTTATTTCACTGGAGAACATATTTCACTATAGTACTGAACCCCAAACTTGCACGATCCGTCCAAAATTAAGGTAAACTTCCCCCCAGAATTATATAATTTTTCCTGACTATGAATTCAACATTCAAGAATTTTCTTTTGATAGCGAGAGCGGCAGAGAGGACAAGCATGGAAAGGAGAGCCGTCCCCCAGGGAGAACTCCTCCAGGGCAAGGAGACATGTGTGGTGGAAGGTGTGTGAGCAGGACAGGAGCACAGCCTCCCGGGAGGGCGGGCTGCATGGCCCTGAGGGGGCGCTGCCCACGGAGAGCGGCGTGAGGCAGATGGGACACTCGTGGGTCTCCCGGCGCAGAGCCTGCAACAGAAGGAGACGCGGGTGTGTCATGCCGGTTCTTAGCTTCATCATAAGAGGAAGTCTCCTAAATGTAAGTGAGAACTATATACCAAGAGACAGGATCTTCTAAAAACGAAGAAGCTTCATTCTGTGTTAAAACACTGATTGTGTCTATATTGTTACTCTTGTGAGAAATGGAAAGCGCTAGTAACCCACCTGTGATAAGCAATTTTAAAACAAAAATACTTTATAAAATGCTGAACATTAATAATATAGAATTCCTTTTAATTAAGCAATAAAGAGTAGTCTTTTTCAAAATACTTGACTACGTAGCTGTAAACTTCCTTATAAATGTCCCTGTTTTTACCATTTTCTAAGTAAGTCTTTCCACTGTGGGAGCGGAGTCACCCTTTCCTCCAGGGCTGCTGCAGACGCAGTGGGAGGGCAGGCTAGTACTTGCAGCAAACCCTCAGGAAGGTAACACGTGGGGCGGTCTTTTCCCTTTGGTGTTTTCATTGTTCACAAAATGGCACAAAAAAGCAGAATTTCAAACTGAAGGGCCGTGGCACTCCCCCGGAGTGGATGATGGAGGTGCAGGGGCCCCCCACGGGTGCAGGCACAGCCAGGGCAGAAAGCATGGGCCTGGCAGCACCGGGTACGCCCAACATGTCCCTCAGCTCCCCTCCAACGTCACTCAGACTCCTGGTGGCCACGCTGCTGCCAGCTGTTGCCGAGGCAGCCCGTCGAAGCCTACCTGTGCCTGGATTTTCTCCCAGTCCTCCTCCGCGAGCTCGTGGCCACACTTCTCCTCCAGCTGCCGTAGAACACTTCGGTTTATGGCCAAGCAGTGGTCGATCTCTGAAAAGAGCTCTTCGATGTCCGTGCGGTAGGAGCACAGCATCCGGTGACTGATCTCTGTGAACTGAGGACAGGGAGGGGCAGGTTACAGGCTGAGTGTGGGATTCTTGGTGTAGGTGGAAGGGGAGCACCTTCTGAGTCCTCACTACCTTTTCTACTCAATTTCCTCAAGTCTTGGCCTTTGAAGAATACTTTTTGGGGAAACAGACATATGGCTATTAATAACTCCAAGTCCAGACACTTTATGCAGAGAGATTCCCACAAAGGTTCACCTGGTTGTAAGCCGTGGTTGTTAACAAGGAATTAAAATTAAAAGTTGAGAGGAAAAAGGAATTAGGGTTTTCCACAATTAGTCACATTGTCATCCTGCTCTGGCACTATTTACTCTAATCTTTAAGGATTGTTGCTGACGATGCTGCAACGTCCTAGTGCTACTGCCAGGCGTTTTGTCACTAGAGCTGGCTCACGTCCCTCTGCTTGCCGGCCATCTTCCCGCTGTGGGTACAGATTATGAATTCTGCTTTTGGTGTGACCATAAAAAAAAAAGGAAATCCAAGAGAAAGATTATCACCTTCTTTTAAATCAATTATTCATTCTGCGTTTCTCACTGAACTCTAAAATCATTCTTTGAAAACTCCCATTGCCTAAGGACCTTAACAGTGTCTTTCCATGAGCTGAGGGGATCAATTTATGCACAGCCGTGTCCCCCTTGCTACAGAGCAAATCTTTAGGACTTAAAATTCTGTTTTCACTGCTAGCATAAATATGGAGGCAGCACATTACATTTTATCTAAAACTTTTTAAAAGTTTGCTTTCGAAGTATTGCCTTAAATATAGTCTCTAATGTTCCTCAAGCTCAGTTCTTTTAATAAAATACAATCTTTTTGATACAAAATGATTCAGGAAAGCACAATGATCTTACAACAAGTGGTTGGCCAGGAGGTCCTCGGTTGTGGTGGCGTGGCGTGCTATCGCCTCCTGATGGCCACGAGCTGGAATTGCGAGGACGACGCAAAGTCACTCCTGACACTGCTGCTGCGATGCGTGCGTTTGCAGTGCAAACTGGCTCAGAGGTGATTAGTGAGATGGAACACACCTGGATGAGTGGAAGTCACATGGGCTCACAAGGGACTTCCTCAGCACGTTCTTTTTGCACCGTTAAGTGGTAATAGCTGCTGAGCGCCAAGCAGCATAACCTGCAATCCTTCAGCCTCCCCTCCTCCTCACATCCCCGGTCTCCCCTCCTCCTCACATCCCCGGTCTCCCCTCCTCACATCCCCAGTCTCCCCTCCTTCTCGCATCCTCGGTCACCCCTCCTCCTCACATCCTCAGTCTCCCCTCCTCCTCACATCCTCAGTCTCCCCTCCTCACATCCCCAGTCTCCCTTCCTCACATCCCCAGTCTCCCCTCCTCGCATCCTCAGTCTCCCTTCCTCGCATCCTCAGTCTCCCCTCCTCGCATCCTCAGTCTCCCCTCCTCTTCACATCCCCAGTCTCCCCTCCTCCTCACATCCTCTGTCTCCTCTCCTCCTCACATTCTCTGTCTCCTCTCCTCCTCAGTCTGACATGTGCTGTCATTTGGAAATATTTACTATGTGGTTGCTCTGATCTCTGCGAATTTTATTCTCCAAAATTAGGAATCCTCCACCCTTTTGTATATGCCCTTTGTCAAGATGCCATCACTCCTTTTCTAAAAAGGGACAGTCCTGTAGTTATTGGTTTATTAGAAATTTAACATGTCTTAAACTTTAGTAGGATTTTTAAGATAGTTATTGTGTCGGTACGGTTGCACAGGTTCTAGATGGTTTTCCCATAAGTCCCGCATGATTTTTTAGGAACATACACCTCAGCAGAAATGCCTAGATAGGTAGGCGATATTGTGATGACAAAGGGCTTCAAGAGTCCAGGAGTCAGTCTCCTTCCATGGGCGGGGAAGGAAGAATCGCTTTATCCATTTCAATTGAGTTGTGAGATCTGGATTATCAGAGTAGGAGGAAGGGCATCGCTGTTGACAGAATCTTAGGAGAAAAGACTGGAAACATCTGGGGCAAGGGTGGGGGCAGAGTGAATGGTTTTTATTAAAGAGTTTTGAGGGTAGGACTGTATTTTATTTTATTATTTTCCCCTCCCTAATCTTCTCAAAGTGCTGTATGATATACTTAAAAAAAACTGGTTTAGTATAATTGTTTTAGAACTTTCTAGCTTACGAGCCACTCTGGATCAGTATTGTCCAACAGGAATGTAAGAGCCACATCTGTAATCTTAAAACTTGTAGGAGCCACATTAAAAATGTTTTTAAAAAGATGAAATTAATTTTAATATTTTATTTAACCCAACATATCCAAAATATTATTTCAAACTGTATCAACTGAATAAACCATTAGTGAGATATTTTACATTCTTTTTTTCCTGTTAAGGCTTTGAGATCCCGTGTGTATCGTGCACGTCCAGCCGTCTCAGTCCAGACCGCCTCCCTTCAGGGACTCGGCAGCTCCCTGTACCGGACAGCACGGCCTCACGGCTCCGGAAGACGTGCACTGGAAGGAACCGGATCACTGCAGAGTGACCACAGCATCTGAGGCACCGAGGGGTAGCTGACCCAGGGCCACACCAACAGCTCCTTGGTTCAACGTCTGAAGACTGACAGAATGGCTTGGAATGATCTGCTGGGTAAAGGATCGTGACAGCGGGGGCTGTAGCTTCTTGCTCGTCCTTTCCCAGCACAAAGCGGTCTACGGAAGTTGGTATCTCATCCAGAAACCACATTTGCCACCCACGTCTAGGTGGGGCCACGTGACACAGCCCTTCCAAATGCAAATGGGGTCTCCAGGCTGGACACACAGGTCTCTGAGGCTCAGGGGATGGCAGAGCAAAAAGATGGAGGGGCCAGCGCCTGCATCCCACGGGGGGGCATGCTGCCCTTGGGAGTCAGACCAAAGCTTCGGGGGTTTATCAGTTCCAGCAATGAGAAGTATCCTGATTCAGTGATTACATTTCATGGAATTGGGCTGGATGAAATGAACTAAGCCCATCAGAATCTCAAAGACATTTAGATGTGTGATATGGGAACATACATTCTAGATGGTGTAGGACTTTCCAGCTTTCAAATATTCCAGTCCATTGGACATCCCACGTGTGGGTTTTTTTAATAAATGTGGAGCAACCTGCAACCTGGCAGAATGCAGTGTTCAAGTCCCCTCCAGAAGCTTAGTTCTCTAACGTCAGACTTCAGAAGGTGCCTTTATGGACGTGGTGTTCCCTTCCAATTCTCTTCCCTCCCAGAAGAAGATGTGGAGATGGTGCAGGGAGGGAGCATCGGCCGTGGTGAGTGAGCCCTGGCCCAGCCTTCGTCCTGGGTGTTACAGGATGAGGGCAGGATTTCAGGGAAGGGCCCCTGTGATGTGGCCCAGACGGCGGACGGTTGGGGGTTTGAATCCAGGCACCTGTGTTTTGGAGTTTTGTTAGCAATTGTGTTTCAGCCATCCTTGGAGGCCTGGAGGAAGATGCTTTTCTGCTTATGAATCAAATTCTGTTTCACGCTGACTCTAATTATAATTGCCCGGCAGCTGTATCTTCATTTATGGTCTTCAACTGGCAGTGTTTCCTAGGGCTCTGATTGTCATCTGTTTGTTCCTCAGCCTTTCAAATATCTGAAAATCTCTCAATTATTGAAAGTAGAAGAGTTCCCTATACTTTATAAAAGGAAGAATCACTTGGAAATATATACAACTGCCTTCCAATTAATGTTTTATAATCAAGTTTTTTGTAAATTGGGTTTTCTTGAATTGTGAGATATTTCCCATATATACCTGAAAGGTAAGATCTTTACTTTTCCTCCAAAATTACACCTCAGAAAAAAAGAAGTCACATTCTATTTCAGACCTTATAAAGTATTTTAGTTCATGAGGCCTGTTCTCAAACTCATTCTGAACAGAAGTGCTGTCTGGAGAAGAGGCGTTAGTGTGACACGGTCACAGTCAGCATGATCTGGGCGCTTGTTCTCAAGTGCGCCCAGACCAGCAGCATCAGCATCCCCTGGGCGCTGGTCAGAAATGCAGAGTCTCAGGCCGGCCCAGACCTGCTGGGTCAGAACCTGGGGTGGGGGTGGGGCGGCATCTGTGTTCTAACAGCCCCCAGGGGATTTGATGGTTATCATGGAAGTTATCTCATTAATTTTTAGGAGTCAAGGTCATGTAACACAGCTAGTCAACATTCCCGGAGGCATAACCCCCTGGCTCCCAGTGCTGTCACTGGGAGCTTTCACTGGTCACAGGCGAGAGCAACAGCGTAAATGTGGAGACCACAAATGTGTATCTACTCTTACATAGGTGTTTCTATTATAGAATCACATGTGTGTGAGACACACATCTCTGTATCCTCCTTCTCACAGACACACGCCCAGGATGACTGACCGAATCCCAGCCGTCCTGACCTTACCCGAGTGAGTTCTCGTGGCCTGAGAGCAACACCTCCGACAGAAATAGAGTGGATGCGCACACTGTGCGCGGTGACTCCCAGGTGGCCCTCGTGAGGACAGTCCTGCTGTCACCTGCTTCAGCAGTGCTGTTGGCACACACTTGCCTTGTTTCCTTTATTTCTGTAAATTCGGGGGGCTGGAGTGCTTTAGTTGATACTGATAACACCCTGCGCTGTCTTTCAAGGGTTTCCACTCCATCTTTGAATCTCTCAGGGGCTCAGTCCATGCACCCACGTGGCAGGCACTTAATAAATACTTGCTGAAAACATGGACTTGCCAGTTTTGCAAATACGACAAGTAAATCTGGGGAGGGTGGATCTTAATGCTTAATACGCCACTCTTAATGCTAATTAGTGTAATGTAGCAAAAAACCAAATAGATGCTTTGGATATGTTATACTATGTGAGAATCACAAACTAGCTCTGTACTCAGATGTTTGATTCTGCAAAAGATACCTAGTACAGAAGAAACAAATGCTGTTTATTCATATTCCACAAGTTTTGATATGTATTTTGCTATTAATTCAGTTCAAAATATTTTCTAATTTCCATTATAATTTCTTCTTTGACTAATGAATGGGTTGCTTAA